AATTGTACAAATGGCTCTCAAGCGTAATCGTGTGAGGTGTGCCAATTAATCATGGCAAGAGTCTCATTCTCAGGTATTTTGTCATTTAACAAGTTTGGATTTTTGGTTTAGAAGTTTGTGCTGCATCTGCAGTTTTAAAGGAGACCTGGAAGGGCAACCAGCAACCCAGATAAAGTGACCAAGGGAAGTACTGGTACAAGGGTAGATGCAAAAGATTATCACCGTCCTCTTAAATTGTTAGATTCTTCATAGTAGATTGCAAGTGAATAGATCAGTAAATTAGACTGATTCATAAGTCCTGGATAAAAATGGGGGTGAGGCAGAGAGGAAAAAAAGCAAGATCACAGCCTTCTCCTTGTTGTATCCATCGTTTGTCAACATGAAACAGAGCTGTAGGTTTGTAATTCTGGGTTCATAATTCTAACCATTTTACCCTGACCCCCTTTTTTGTGCTTCCCTTTTTCATTTTTTTTTGGGGGGGGTGACATCCTATAGGTCCAGGGGTCCAGGAAGCCTTCAGGTTATGACTGGTCTATGTCCATCTCCTCTACCTGTCAGATGCTGGCATTCCATCCCCTTTCACTGAGATTGTGCAGATCTCATTGAGAGAGAATTTGAAACAGACATGAATGCATAAGATTGATGTGGGCAGCAAGAAAGAAAAAGGGGAGAGGGTTTACTTTTGTCAGGGGTATGTAAGGAGGGCTTTTAAATCCTGTACAAGCAAACATTTGAAAACTCCTTGTATCTTTCTCCTTACATGTACATGACTTTGTGTAGATGTATAATTTTTCTAAACACAGCATTTCTGTGGGTCTAATATCAATCTAAAATTTGCCCTTTTTTGACCAATGAAAGGTTTGACAAATTTTCTCCACATACATATTAAAAGCTAGTGGTAGGTTATGTAAAAGAAAGTACAAGAATACTCCTATAGAGAGTGATTTTCAGCAGCCATATTTATGCCTTTGTACCCCAAGTTATGAAACAAAACAAAAAAATCATTGCTAATCAATTGGTAATGTAGTCCATGTACATGCCACTGTAGGGATCCTGAAATTTGCCAGTGAATCGTATTTTATTTGTAACATGAGGACAAGAACAAAATAGTTCTGCTTCTGGTTACAAGTCTCTTAATTAAAAGTAGGGTCAGTAGGTCGGAAATTTTCCTTTTTGGGTCGCTATTTTCGTGCTGATTGAATGGCATCACTGGGGACGAAAGCTTTCAACAATTGTCACAAAAAGTGATAAAAACTTTCCTTAATCAATGTAACAATTTCTACAGTCGACAATTCATAAGAATTATGGACAATTCACACCACTGTGCACAATGCTAGTCAGGTAATCATGATGGCAAACTGGCCAATGATGTTTGTGTATCACATCGCAAGCATGCGTGATGCATCCAGATGGGTGGTCAATAAACCTCGTGCTGCAGCAGGACATTTTTGAGGAAACAAGATCGCTTCAACTATGAGCAAAACAACCTCAAATTTAACTCGTGAACACAGAAAATGCATTCATAGACAAGAGACCAAGTCCTGTGAATTAACTTGCAGAAATCTCCTTGCAACATTGATTTTTTCAACCTTCTTTCAACCTTCTGTACTGTAACAATGCTATTTCAGCTGGGAGACTGGTTGCCACATTTCAATCCCGCATTCTTTTGCATGGGCGTGGTGAGGCGGGAATCAGCACAGCATTGCTGTAATGCAATAAAAACTTGTGTTGCAAGGGAGATATTGATATGTGCCAGTTTTATCAGGCTTGATTCCTCTGAATAGGATTCAAAACGAGAAAAACCAACGTCGTTGGAGTTGGCCTTTAAGGAGAAAACAAGCATTTTAATGTGAAAAAGGTTGTTCAGATTTGTATTGTGAAGACAGAAAAGACAACATGATTTACAACTTTATTTTTACAATTTTAAAAAATTTGTTTTTCAAACTTGCTACCAAAATTTTTTTGGTCGTGCCAAAAAATTAGGGTCGGTTTGGAAACCAGAAGCAAAAGTTGTTTTTGCCTGAGGAGTAAAATGATAATGTTTTCTGTCATCCAAATCAACTTGGTCTTTCCACGACAGCCTTAAATTTGACCAAGTAGAAGAAAGTAGTCTGCTTGAGATTTGGTGTTCATTGAAGCACACCCCTGAAGGGAAGTGGGTGGGCATGACTGTACCTGTGTGAAGGGTTACACCCCAGTCAGTAGGCAGCCCTCTGGGAAATGAGAATGGGACAGTGAGGGATAGGTCTCAGACCCAGTGGAGCAGGTTGTGTGTATTGCATGATGCATAGCCGTCGGAAGGGGAGGGGGCGGGGGGCACGGCAACCCCCCAAACATTTTTGAGATGCGAAAAAAATAAAAGCATACTAGTGAATAGCCTCCCCTTGAATGTTCGGTCCAGCACATCTCTCAGCTCTTTCAAAACGGCAGTCAAGAGACATGTTTATAACCTTACGGTGTGAGCTTGTAACTTTTGTGGCGCCATGAGCACCCATTTCTCGGTTGATTTAAGCACTTTATAAATGCTCATTATTATATTTACCAATAGGTAATTTGGGAGACATTTTGTGGTCAATTTTTCAGCATTAGAGAGACATTGACTTTTAGGGAGACATTTCAGTGTCTCCCTATTTTCAAACTACCAGAAGGAGGCCAAATTTTAATGTCCAAATTTTGAAAGATGATAGATTAGGATCTAAAATGAAAACATTCAAAGTTTGGTTCAGATCAGATAATGGAATATTGAATTATGGGACAGTAAAGTTGGAAACATTTTGTGCACGTTCTTATGGGAATGTCTCCCTATGACCAGGCTCTTTGCCCTCATCCTGGACATTGATGAGTTAATCATCACTATCAGGGATCTGATCCATCACTATTACAGTGACTTGATGTGAATTGCACATGCAGAAGAGAGGCATGCACATACGTGTACATATTGCATTGATTTGATGCAAAATAGTGGACTTGATACTGTTACCCTGATCACTTAATTCTTCGCAGTGTGAAATGTCTACTGCAACACATGAATGCATGTACAGTACATGTGTATGCATAAACACATGCAAAACCCACAACCTCCATGCTCATTTATCAACCAACATTTCATACTGTTCCACTTTCAACAACTTGTACTTTTTTGTGGGGGGGACAAATGTACTCTAAATTATTCTGACAAAAAAAGGAGAAAATTTCAGACTCCTCCAAGTGTAATTTCAAGAATATTATTCTGTATTAGCTCATTAAAACACTTCGTGGCACAAGTCACTACCCCACCAGGCATTGCTGCATTCATGCTTACTGTGTTCATCTCACAGTGATGTCACCAGTCTAGTAATAACACAAGATTCGATCTCACACTTCAGATCTTGGCCAAGTTTGCTTTTGAAAGGATATGCCTTTTATTTCTCTAGTCCTCTCTTTTAGTCAATAAATCCATTGTAGTTTGGTATTTGGATTGCCAGTCTATAACCTTAATTGACAAAATATTGTAAACCTTTTAATACCCCTGTAACATAGCTGAACTTCAGATCCGTTGCTGCCGTTATACTTGAAGGATAATCCAAGGAGTTCTTTATATTGCCTGGAAAGTATTAACTAAAGAAGATAAGATAAGAGTTAAGATAAGTTAATTGAAGTGTTTGTCTTCCTCTGGAAGCCATCAGGCTTCATTTATTGCTCATCCTCAAATGATACAGAACAACTAATTACTAATGTACCTTGCAAAGGTACTGAATTTATTTTAAGGAGGATGAATTGAAAGTACACATGAATACAATGAGGACTGACCAAATTCGAATTAGAATTTCAATTAGTTAGGTTCAAAATAACCCTTTTCTTGGTGTTTAGCGAGAAGAAATCTTTTTTGAATGGCAACATTTTTCCTTTACAATAAATTTTTTCAGGCTTATTATAATGGGTCAAAACATCTAAGTTTGTTATGGAAATCAGATCCATACTCACTTTGCATCTTAATTTCCAAGTAACAAGATGAAATTTGCCAGTGAGAAAAAGAGCCATTGCATTTACCGCTTTTTCCTCTCCAAAATTCTGTTACTGTCGTTCAACACAGAGTAAGCGTTGTCATATTTCTGAATAAGGCTCTCTACAAAATTTCATAAAGCAGTGTGTTAATAACAAGACAAAAAATGTGTTTTATCATTTCCTTGGCATCTTTACACAAAACTCACCGATCCCCATTTTATACAAAGCTGGCAAAATTCTATGCATAAGTTCAAAGCAAACATCTTTGATGTCTTGACATAGCAGAGAATACCAACTATTTTCCATATTTTCTTCTAGGAAGGACCACTCAGCCAAAGTAAATGCTCCATTAAGACAAAAACAGGCCTTTCACTCAGTTACTGGAATTAAAATAATTTCTTGAAAACTTGTGAGAGCTGACACAAGTTACGGACTAACTAATTTTTGATGCACTGATATTCCACCAGACATTAAATGCAAAACAAACACAACTGTTGTCCATAAGTGGGATCTTAAACAAGAGAGGACCACAAGAAGTGCATATCATATTGTCTTGCTCAAACCAACTGCACAATTTTCAGAGTTTTGTAGGAAGGTTTGCATCATACAGGTCTTGAGTAGATGTTAACTTTTATTGAATGGTTGTCCTGACTACCAAAAATCCACGGTGCCATTGCTACCAAAGGTAGTTTTTCCAAACTTTACCGGTGTGATTACTTTCATATCACAATGAAAGTCACCCATAGACTTCTATGCACTCGTGACCATTACAGACTTAAGTACCACTATTTTCACTTCACCAGATTACTAATTAAGTGATTTTACCAAGGTTTCTTTAGATACAATTTCAGTACTTTCGTTAAAATGCAAACCTTCTCACAAAATTTAACGTAACGATCAATGACTTCTTTACACTGACAGGAACACTATATAAATGTAAGATAATACCACCCTGAAAATGAAGTTTCCAAATATAAACTCAGTCTCCTATTTTCTCCAATTTTTAATTTCTTCAGAAGAAAAGAGATTTCCATGCAGTGACTGTCAGGAAGTATTTCGTTCTAAAGTTGCCCTCAGACGTCACCAGAAATATGCCTGTCAGAACTCCAGTGCCATCTTTACTGCCCAACAGTTCCACAACCACCAAGGTACACTTCCCACAAACATACAATCTGTTTTTGCTGGTTGAAATAGCTTCAGCAAAATTATTTTCCAGGCAAGTCAAGTGGGACAGTATCCCAAGGCCTTTAGCATGCCAGTGTAGATAGACAACATGTTACCACCATACAATCAGGTGGAATGTGTAGTGGCAATCTGGTTTGTTGCTGGATGGACTGGCGCTGTCAACAAGTTCTAACTTGTGTTCATTATTCTTCTCTCTAGTCACCAGTGTGAAATCTGATGGAAGTGAGTCTGCAGCAGATGGGCTAGAGGAGTCCAAGAGGTCCTCAAGTAATGACTCAGAGGAGGAAGATAGAGGGGACTGCAGTGAATACCGAGCTAACCGGGACTTCCACTGTGACAAGTGCCCCAAGAGCTTCCACTGGAAGTCCAACCTGCTGCGGCACCAGAATGAGCATAGCAGTGACCACCAGTTCCCCTGTGAGCATTGTGACAAGACATTCTCAGACCCAAGCAACCTGCAACGCCACATACGCACACAGCATGTTGGTGCCCGCAGCCACGCTTGCCCTGAGTGTGGTAAGACCTTTGCCACCTCCAGTGGTCTGAAGCAGCATACCCACATCCACAGCAGCATCAAACCCTTTATCTGTGAAGTCTGTCTCAAGTCGTACACCCAGTTCTCCAATCTGTGCCGGCACAAGCGTATGCATGCCGACTGCCGCACTCAACTTAAGTGCAACAACTGCAGTCAGATGTTTGCCACTGTCACCTCCCTGAACAAACACCGCCGCTTCTGCCATGGCAACCAGCTCCTGAACAACCAGATCTCCACCACTCAAGCTGCCAGTGTGCCATCAGTAGTCCGTAATGGAAGCTGTCCTGTAATGACCCCCAACCCTTCCCTAATTGGGGTTGGTATGCTGGGAGCAAATAACCCTCTGCACCCAGCCAACCTGGCGCACCTCTGGAATGCCAATTTACATTTAACCCACCAGGCTCTCTTACAGAATAATCTCCTTGGCTACCCAGGTTCAGATAAGACCCCCCTTCCTAGCCATCCTTACTTCATGGGTTACTCTCCGATGCCTACCCAGTCACCTCTTTTACCCAGCAACTTTAACAAGCAGAACCACACCTCAAGAAGTGGGAGTGGGGGAACAAGTCCCAATGGATCCATTAACTCTGCTGATGACTGGCTTAAGCATTATACCTCCACTGTCAGTCCAAGCATGTGTGGGATCCAGCCTGCTGATGGACACCCAGCAAAAATGAGGAGGGATTACAATGAGAAAGCAGAGAGTGAAGTCAGTGATGGTAGCGATGTGTCCAATGTTAGCACCCCTACAGGCAGTGACCTGGATTCTACCTCTGGCAGTGACCTTGACTCAGACAGTGAAGGTAACACAGAGAACAGGGCCCATCGAAAAGTAGCCCACCGGCACAGCACCAACAGGAAGGAATCACAGCCCCTAACACAACAGGCTGCAGGGAATGATGGAAGATTGGAGAATAGAGTAACAGCTAGTGAGCCAATGAAAGCCATTGCATCCATTGCCGAGAAATATTTTGGTGGGGCTTGTCCCGAAAATGGTTTGATGAAGTCACAAATAAAGAGCAATGGTCAAAGTGTTGACAACAGGCTCCGACATGAAGCTCGCTTCCATCTGGACAGTCAGAGTGTCAACAGCATCCAGCAAGAGTCTCCCTTTGATCTCTCCAAGAGGAGATTGGGAATTGTCCAGCAGCATTCAATTTCCCATTCAACAGGAGAAGAGCCATTAGATCTTAGCCTCCCCAGGCGCAAACGAGTGTCATCTGTTGAGAACCTGCCCATTAAAAAATCTGAGTCCCACAGCCCCCTTAATCACAGCATTGGGAATGACAAGACCCTAACTGAGCCCTCCAAGGGATCAGACCTGTATGCAAAGCCAATGCCCCTGGTTATGCCAGATCCAATCTATAGGGTTAATGGGGATATGCTCCCAACTAAGTTCATGCGCATGGACTACAGTCATCTTTTTCCCAATGCTGCCTTTCAAAACTTTCGTAAATTTGATCACTACCATGCAGAGAAGAGCCTGACCAAGTCAGGCCTTAGTCCACCCCACCGCACCTACCCAAGTACGGTACTGTACCCTAGTAGTGGAGAGAAAATGATTATGAGGAGCAAGGATCGCTACACCTGCAAGTACTGTGGGAAGCTCTTTCCACGATCGGCCAATCTGACTCGCCATCTCCGAACCCACACAGGAGAGCAGCCCTACTCTTGCAAATACTGCGACCGATCTTTCAGCATCTCCTCCAACCTTCAACGCCATGTTCGCAATATCCACAATAAGGAGAAACCCTTCAAGTGCCCACTTTGTGAGCGCTGCTTTGGGCAGCAGACCAATCTTGATCGGCATCTGAAGAAACATGAGAATGAGCGAGCTGAGGAGATTGCATTGTCCACAGCGGCTGAACATGACGTTATCATAGCTGCCCGCCTGATGGCCAAGACAAAATCCTTCAAGGAGCCAAATGACCTAAATGAGAAAGATGAGTCCTATTTTGATGAGATCAAGAATTTCATTGATGATGCCAAGGAGAAAGAGGCCTTGCGACGGAAGTTGATGGAGATGGAAGCCACAGCAGCAGTCATAGCCTCCAAACAGGTCCAAAGTCCATCTGTCTGCAGTTCATCAACAGAAGTGAAGGAGGGTGAACATAGGCCAGAAAAAATGGAAGATGACAAAGGCGGGCCAGAGGATAATGAAGAAAGTGATGGGGGGGAAGACAGAGAGATGGAAGATGTTGACAAGGAAGGGGATGAAGAAGCACAGGAAGTTCAAGAGGAAGAAGAGATAGTAATCACCCCTGAGAAGAGAGATGAAACGACGGATCCAACCTCCATCGACAGAGATCACAGTATTCCTCAAGAGGAGGACATGTCTGACAGCATGAATGAAAGTGAAGATTTGAGTGATGGGGAAGAAGTCTCCAAGTCTCCAAGTATCACCTCTGATGAAGATCCCCGCATGGAGCAGTGTGCTTCAGATGCTGTCCCAGTTGACTTCGGCCTCCCAAAAAGGGCATCAGTGTTTGCCACTACTCATGAGGCCCCCCAGCTGCCTGACGTTGACATCTTGAGAGAGGGGAGAGCCAACCTTACTCGCCATTCCAAACTCCAAGCTTATTCTCTCATGATGGCACTGTCAGATGATGAATCACGGAGAGGGGATGGGGCACGAAGGTCTCTGCATTCAACTCACCATACTGCTGTTCACACTGCCACATTGGTTTAAGCAGGTATTTTCAAAAGGGTGGAGTCCAAGAGCCATGACGCACCTTCAAAAGTCTTAAAATTTTTTAAATATTCAATCTTGAATAGCTAAGTTCAGTATCACCTCTATTTTGTTGTTTATAGTCATGTGAAGTAGATGATTTAATGTGACAAAAAACCCAAATCATTCTAATGGCAATGCTCCAATTTCTGGACCTTTTGAAAGCTCAAACATCTCGTACAGTCCACTCAAGCAAAAATACCACCGATCTAATATGTGACTGACAGCTGGATGAAAGCCCACCTTATTCAGAGATGCCATTCGCTGGCAACTCCAGTAGTTGAGTATATTGTAGTCAATTAATGTGTTAAATGAGTTATTCCAACTAGAGATTGATTTGTTTTTATCCACCTTAAATGTATTTTCAAGAGTAATCAAGAAAGCAAATTGTCTATTTAATGGGTCTATGAATGAATGATCAATGACAATGTTATTCAAAAATTAATGAATGGGATATTCTTGTTACCACACTATATCATAAATGATTGCTTAATGCTAAATTGTACATGTACATACATGAGATTAGTGTATCTCCTTAAACTAAGTGTCAACTTTCATCAAAGCTGTATTTCTTTGAAATTCTGCACAGAAAATTACATTGCCTTTTACAATTGAAGTACATTATTTAGAGCAAAGCAGTAGTTTTTAATGATTTAAATGCAGTAATTTTTATAAGAGTTTGTTGAACTGATTACTTGATTAGTTATTAAATAGTTTATATTTATGTTTCTTGTTGAAAAGAAACATGCAGAAATGAAGTCATGATGCAGAAAAACTGTAGATGCAGAAAAATTGTAGTTTTGCTATGTTGACAGTTGACTAAAAACGAGATATATGCATCTTTGCTGTCAGGAAGACTTGGTATGCGTGATCTCATATAAGACTTGTAGGTCTGCATGGTGGACGTGAACAAAGTATTGAAGGTTTGCAGTCACGCCATGGAAATTCATCTCTATTTGAGTTGTGCGATCTTAATTCACATTCCCTGAGCAGTTGGAATCAAAGAGTGCTTTTGTAAGTATCCATTGTTGCCATGGAGTTTTCAATTTGCTTGGTTATCTGGGCCAAAGTCTCTGTGGGTCATGCACCCCGAAACCATGTTGAAGGCACAGATTTTCTGAATTTGCCATCACTTGAAATATGATTTCTTTAAAAAAATGTCATTGCCAAATGTACAGGGTGTAGAGAAAAGACTCAGTTATATTAATTCAAATGGAAAAGTGAATAAAACTAGTAGAAAAAGAGGTAGTTTCCCCAGGGATACTAGTTCAGGAAATTCCGTCCTCTCGAAAAAATGGAACTCAAATTGCAGAGAGAAGTTTGTGTATGGTACAATAATTATTGTCAATTTTGTATCTGTCATACAACTTGTACAGGGCTGGTTCAGCAAGAAGCTCTTTCTTTGTGATAGTTCCAAGTTAAATTTCGGGGACTAAATTTTGTGGAGAACATACATCGACTTGGGGCAGATTGCCAACATCAGTGTTAGTTGTAAGTTTCTTGAAACTGATATGTGTGAACATTTTCTTGTACCAAACAGGCCAAAGAAAGGTTTAACTTTTCACAGCATTAATTAACTACTATTTAGAATTAGAGAGAGAGAGAGGGAGGGAGGGAGAGAGATGCTCTTTTTAAATTCATTTTAAGTGTGATGTAAAAAGTAAGTTAACTGTATATACTTCGTGCACAGTGCAGGTTTTTTTCTACCTTGTTAATGTAAAAATGACAGTTTGTCAGATTGTTACATTTTCAGCAGATGTTTCTGCATTATCTTTGAGGGAGGGAGAGAGACTTTTGTCATAGGTGACAAAAACATTTGAGTGTTCCATTTAATATATGACGGCAGTGTGCAAAGAGTGAATAATGACAGCCGAATGGATATTATGCTTTTTACGTATTGACGAGAGATTTGAGGGCATTGGGTGTTGCCATGGTTTCAGTGATAGTAATCAAACTAAAACCAGAGCCCCATAAGTCAGTCAGAAATCCGACAATTGAATTTTTGTTTGCAGAACGCAGTATTAAACAGAGCATTCACTTTTTAGTTAACTGTAATACCCTATGAAATTAAGGTATAGCTTATGTTGTGAGCAAAGCTTTGTTACTCATGTTCAGAAATGTCTTTACATTGTCACATATTCAGTTGTCATTTTTAAATTTGAAAAAGCGTTTATTTTGTAGGATTAATTTATTATGGCATCCTGAACAACTGGAATATTTAGAAGAAACTTAGGTTTTATTCGGATTTCTTTTTTACATTTCTTTTTTTTTGTTAATCTGAGAGCCATTCAGGGTGTGTGGTGTGCATTTTACTTTGCATATACTGCCAACCATAGTGCACAAAGTTTATTTTTATGATCGTTGCTTGTCATTTCATATGCTGCGAAACATATTTTGCTTTTATGTACAGTATACGTTTTTCCCTTCAGTTTATGTTTTTGCCTTCTGATGCGGCATTTATCTTTGTTTTCCTTGTATTTAAAGACAGTACCCTGCCAAATTAGTAATTCTTATAAACACAGACAACTTGTCACATATATCTCCTTAAAAGGCTAAAATTGAACAATTATTTTTGTTTTCAAGAATATTCAACATATCCTCCCTTTCTGATTGTGTTTCCTACAAAAGTGAACAAATTTTATTACCTATTATTAATGTTGTCAAAGCATGAATTGTTGTAGAATTTTTTGGCAGTTAGCCCATCCTTTCATCAAGGTCATTATGGTTTGAGCTGACAGTTGACTAAGCGGCAAAGATAGGACTAGATAGACTGAGCAGAGACTACAGGTACGTAGTCCGAGTGATGAAATCACTTAGTCTTTTTAGTACTCGTTTCCACTAAGTTTGCTTTGTAGCCTCACCACTTGCTCAAGTTAGTGATATTCAAATAAACTTTAGGTAGCATCAACAGTGGCGGGTGGGGGGCAGTTATAAGTGACCATCAGGCATCAGCCCCTGATGGACAGATCCATTAAAACCTGCCTCATTATAAAGCCTGCCAAAATGTTGGNAATGTTGGGGGGGATGCCTTTCCAGTTGAAAGGGTCGGGGGGGGGGGTTCTGCCCCTCTTCCATCATCAGTTGGTAGCACAGTTCCATTCTGTTAATTGCTCATGAGACATATTGATAGAAAATGTCTCCAAGCTCACTTCTAGCAAGCCACCTCAGTACTACAACTTGCAAAAGAATGGGAAGAACTGCCCTGAATGATAATGATGTAAGAAGTATCAGAACATTTTTTCAACTCATTAAGAGCTTTATATTGTTATTTTTGCAGTAGGATCTTAACTTTATGATAGGCAGAATAAACTAATGTGCCAAAAAGGACCTTTGGATAGTGTCTACATTGGTACCTGCCCTCACCATTACATGAGTTGCATTTCTCGAAAGATTCACTTTCTTCGTCATAACAGAAATGAATTTCTGTTTAAAATCAATGCATTACTGATTCATGTATTCATGAAGTGCTGTTGATTCGTTCACACTTTTATTATATAGCAGGGATGAACAATCACTGAAGTTTATCCAAACTACAGAAATGTGATAAAATAAACTTAAAAGTTCACCACCTGTGGCATACTTGAAGTTAGTCAAACAATGCTTAAGTCTTAAGTAGCCAGTAAAAAGACAAATTCCAGTATCAACTCGTTCTGGATAGGTCTAATCATATTGGTTGTGTGAATGTTAGATTCAGAAAGAACAAATCTGAAAGCCACTGTTTTCATTTAAAATAATTTGGAAACATACACACAGAATTATTGCATGAAATCAAATTAGGCTAAATGATCATTTGTATATATAACTGTATTATAACTGAGTAATGTTCAGTCGCTTAGTTAATCCTCTAAATGAGTAACACAAGTTATTCATTCTGGACACATTTACTCAGTTGTCAAGAATTCGTTATTGGAATTGTTTATTTTTGTCAGATGTTTATGTGGTACTTTGTTTGAATACGTACATTCCAAACTGTCTTATTGTATATCGAAGGGCTCACATTTTTGTCTATATCAGACAGTGTGACAGTTCCTGTGAAGAGTCAAACTGAAATATTGAGCTTATCCTATGCTATTACTGTGCATGCCTCACCACATGAGGGTAAGACCTTTTAATGCATGTGAAAATTATGTTGTATGCTCTTATTCTGCAAATACCACACCAGAAACAATACGTAGTACATGATAAAATTTGGAAATACTACCAGAATTGTAACATTTTCTTTCAAAGAGACGGATACACGAACATTGCCTCTGTCTGGATTCATTACAGAATGTACTGAATTTGAATACTAGGGACGTTTTGTTTGTTTAGTTTGCATTTGTTTTTATAATAGTTGATTCATAGTTTTGTCTATATCTTGTCAGAATTGAGTAATCTTTGCACATTATGGGTTGTTTTCCTAATTGAAGCAGTGACATGTATACCTCGTGTCAATTTACACAGATGCGTGGTAATCGAATGCCTTGGTGAACAGTGAAATGCAGCATATTTTACGTGAGTTTAAGACCAGCTCTTAACGGGAATAAATTTAAGACCAACCAAACACATATTTATTCCCATTCAAAAATATTTAGTCAGAGAGTCAAAATAAGTCAATATACGATAAATTTTCAAGGATTTTGTTTGAAGAATTTTACTTTCATTTTCTTGAACACCCTGTCCATTTCTTTAGTTTTCACGAAGAGACAAATTTGTCTTCCATAGATATGTTGGGGGAAAAAAGGGCAAAACTCATTTCGCAGTTTTCACAAAGAGACTAATTTGACTCCAGAAATGTATACAAACATAGCAATTTTGCACCTGGCATGCGCTATGGCAAAAGGGGCATACTGTGTGCCCTTTTCATGAAGAGACAAAAAGCCACACAAATTTTACATTTTCACAAACAAATGTGGTTGTTTTTAGAAAAAATTGACTTCTATAAATTTTATTTTGTACTTTGTGTCATTTATGATCCCCTCTTTCATGGAGTAGCATTGGTTAGGTCAAAGGAATACTAAATACTTTGAAAATAAGCATTTGAAAAAGAGACCAACTTGAAATGCAATTTTCTTGAAACCTAGGTTTTACTCACTGGTGAGACATCGTCTTGCAATGAAACTGACAATTTGCTTGCTGGTGTTGATATTCAGGCAACTAGCCAATCAGTAACACAAGTCTTTGTGAAATTCAGCTGCCAGCTAATGGCAATGTTCACACTGCAAAAAAGGTACATTTTCTTCCATTCCAGCCTGGATGGAATTCACAGTTAAAGAAACTGAGTGTCCAGAATGTCTCTTAACTGCTGCAAAGTTTACATGGTTGAGCAGTCTTTGTATCCCACCGTGGAAATCTTGAACTTTTTTTTTTGTTTCCTCCCCATTGCGTGATTTTGTGGGTGTGTTAACCCAATTGTAAAGTGGTGTAAATAAACTAAAATACAATCCTAAAAGCTTACTCTTTGTCTTAGCAAAAAGGATGTCAAATTTGGCAAGGTGGATGTTCATCTTGCCCTAATTTAACTTGAGCTTTTTAAACACTGCAAAAACCTTTCATGAAATATTAGTTTTTTTTAAAGCTTAGCTACTTCAGTTCATAGATAAGTAATGCCAGGATATGTAGGATAAGAATATGAATTATGAGAATAAAAATATTCTGTCAAGCAAGCGTCATAAAGTTCATTTCCCTGAATGTTTTGTTTTGTTATGAATTTGTTTGGAACTGGTTTCTTTTTACATTTTGTCCATTCATAATTGAAGGTCATCCATCTGTCAACCATTGGTACAGAACTTTCAACTCTGTAGACCATTGTGTAGATGGACACAGTCAATTACTTACGCATGCTAAAGGATTCCATTGATATGAGCAATGACAGGCGAAATGTTAAAAGGAAAAGTACTCATGGAGGAGTCTGGATTGTGTAAAAGTCACCTAACGATTAAAAAAAGTGCAAAATAACTTTAAAAATCTTCAGCCCTAAAATTTCTTGAAAGCATGGTATGTAAATGTGCAAAACTGTGTACTTACATCTAATTCTGTTGTGATATCCATTTTTGATAAATTGACAGTTGGTTCCATTATTCACAGGCTGGCAAAGTTGAGTTTTATTCACACTTCAAAATAATGCACACACATTCATTCCTTACCCCAGAATTTGATTTTGTACTCCATCCATTTGCTCCATGCAATTACCAAAAAAAGGTACACAATTTATTAAAAATTGACTGTTGTTGAGAATGTAATCCTTGCTGCACCATTTGGGTACCAGTACTTATCCATGCCTTGATTAATGCCCTGGAATTAACTGCTAACAGGAAGTGCCAGGATTCCTTAAGCTAATGAACACCCAACACCAGTAGCCAGTTACTTAGTCAATTCTCAGCGATTAGACCCAATAAAGCAAATCTATGTCCAGTTTGTATGTTACATTTTAACCATTATTTTGGGTAACTTGCCCCCCTCCTGTCAATATATTTGCCAGAGAACACCACATGACATTGAAGCAGTGGTTATACTCTTGATACTCGATGCTGGAAAATTTTGCATGCTCATTACTTTCAGATCACAGCATGCAAAGCCGGCCTGTCAAGGGGTACCCCCTCAGTAAAAAAGCATAAGCTTAAAAAACATATTTTGTTCTTGTGATGTGGCCCCCACCACCTGATGCTGTGGCCCCCATTAATGCCTGAAGCTGGGGACAGCGAAACATGTTTACCCTTCTGCCACCTTGACATAACCAGGTGTGATGCTTGTATACATCTGTGCATGAATAGCATGCTCAAACACAGCCACTGCCAATGTCACACCTCCCACCACCTTTGATTTCAGGCCATTTATAAATTGGATACATTTGTGGCTTTCGTTTTTCACCATTAGTGTGCAAAAGTAATCAGCACAGCCACAGAGAGCAATCCATTTCGAACACGAAAGATGATTGACAAGTCAAAGAGGGTTAATTATGGAACTTATGTGGGTAAGAATGACTTGCATCTCATGTGCTAGAAGCAAGTAATCCAGAGATTGACATACATGTGCTTTGGATCAGTGTCGTCAAATTCATCACAAGTACATGTAGTTTCAATACAAGCGAACAATGAGAAGGAATATGCTTTTTGTCATGGTTCTATTTATCTGCAAAGAGTGGCATACACAGATTGACAAGTACCTGGCAGTGAGTTGAGAGTGTAATTTGATGCACACATATATATGCAAAATGAAAGCAACAAGATTTGTCTCCATCAGTTATGTCAGCATATAACTGGACCTCGTTCCAAATACATGTAATTAAGGAAGAGGATGGCACTACCCCCTACAAACCCTAAAGGCTGGTTCATACTCATGCAAAAGAATATATGAATGTAGATTGGATTAACATCCACTCACTACACTGAACAACTGTTCAACATGCAAATATCAGCTACAATGCAGTAAATTCCAGTTACGTTGACCATTGCACTTGAGTATGGACAGAATAGTCAAACCAAACCATAATCTTACCAATCATGTCAAAATACCAGTATCTCATCTAAATGAGTTCCAAAAACAAAGTTTTAAATTTAAGTGTCAACTCACACCCGTGCTACAAAGATAAATACCTCTCCCTGGTTTATGAAAATGGGTATCAAGGTGGCGCAAAATAAACAACCTTTAACTTTTGTCAGATGCCCTATATGCAGTGTGCTTCTTTGAAGTTGCCAATTTCCAAACTAAGGTTTGAATCTCAGCTGTTGAATTCACCTGTGTCAATACTCTGGAGGGTGTTCATGTACAAGAAAATTGTCACTGGCACTATTGGGCATGCTTCTGTACAGCGTCAAACCAATTTAGTGTTTGTAAACCATTACCAAATTCTAAAACAAATTCCAAAAATACCACTGGAGTGGTGGTATCACCTAGATTTTAAGATCATTAGACTTTGGTGGGAAACTTCAAGCACCGATGAGTGCGACCCGAGACCTTAGCCAGAAGTCCATGAAATCATGAAGAATCCCAAGTTGTACACTAGCCAATATGAAACTGAGAGAT